AAAGTGTGCCTTCGATGTTAGTTCATGAAAATTATTAGGCTTCATAGTCAACAAAAAGGGTGTTAAGGTCAATCCAAATAAGATTCAAGCTATCTTAGAGTTGAAGTCCCCAGCCTCTGTGAAGGAGGTCCAGTGCCTTAACAGGAGGATAGCAGCCCTCAGTAACTTTGTCTCGAAGTCAACAGACAAGTGTTTGCCTTTTATTTAAGATCCTCTGCAAATATTTCCAATAGGGACTAGATGCAGAGGTGGCCTTCTAGAAGTTAAAGACCTACCTTGTTACACCCCCTTGATCTCCCATGCTATACCAGGAGAGATCTTATACCTCTACCTCTCCTCTTCGTCCTCCGTCGTGAGCTCTATCCATGTTAGGGAGGATATAGACATCCAAAAACCTATGTACTATGTAAGTAGAGTATACCGAGAATCATAGGTAACATATTCAAAGCTTGAGAAGTTGGCTTCGCACTTGTCATTGTCGTCAGACACCTACGTCATTACTTTTAGAGTCATACCATCATGGTTATTATAGATCAACCACTCAAGAGAATTCTAAAAAAGTCTGATGTATCTAATCGACTACTCAAATGGGTCATCAAGTTCAGTGAGTTCGACGTACAGTACCAACCAAGGGTAGCCATAAAAGCACAAGCAGTTGCGAACTTCGTGGCTAAGTTTACGCCACCACAGGAACCCCATGACGAATTACCATGTGCCCCTGCTCTCGCCTGCTCAATACATAGCGTCTTCAGTCATTATGAGGCAAGGCCCATCATTATCCTAAGAAAACCTAACAACTTGGAGATGGCCCCTAAAGACCAGATCCTAAGGCCAGAAGCCCCCACCTCCCTTGTACCAACTCCACCGGAGCCCTCAACACCCTCACTGGCCACAACAGTCTACTGTAACATGTTGGAGACTGTATGTTAATGGTTCTTCCACTAGTGAGGGCAATGGTGCAGGACTGGTACTAATTAGGCCCTACGACACTCCACTCAAGTATGCATCTCCCTCCACTTTTCAGTATCAAACAACCAAGCTGAATATGAGACTCTCATATCAGGGTTGAAGCTCGCAATGGAGATGGGAGCCCTCTGCCTAACAGCTTATAGCAACTCACACCTGATAGTCAATCAAGTAAAGGGAGACTTTGAATTGAATGAGAAAAAGATGCAAGAATACCTGTCAGTCATCTAAGTTTTGTTGAAGAAATTCAAGCACTTTCAAATCCACCATGTGCCTAGAAAGGAGAATGCCATGGTGGATGCCCTTGCCAAATTCACATTTGCTAATATACTCATGGGCCCAACACTAACAGGCCACCAATTTGAGCCAAACAGGCTCAAGGCATAGGAGGACGATGTTAATTGTGCATCCTCCAAAGCTAATTGGATGACACCTATCCAATCCTTCTTAGAGGAAGACGTTCTCCCCCACAACCTAGTGAAAGCCAAAAATTTAAGAGTGAAAGCATCCAAATATGTCATCTTATGCAACACCCTCTACAAGAAGAGTTATTCATTGTCGCTACTCTGCTGCCTTACCCCTGAGGAAGCAGATTATGCCATGAAGGGATATATAGAAACCACTCAGGAGGTTGTGTGTTAGCTCTTAAAGTAGTAATGTAAGGCTATTATTAGCTTAGCATGATCAGAGACGCTCATGAGTTTGTGAGGAAGGGTGACAAATGTCAGCGCTTCGCAACTGTACCCAGACATCCACTAGAAGAGCTCACTACCATCCAAAGCCTATGGCCTTTCTCTATGTAGGGGATCAACATCCTAGGTTCTCTACCCATAAGTCGGGACCAATGCAAGTTTGTCGAGGTAGCCATCGACTACTTCTCCAAATGATAACAGCCAAGGCTTTAGCCAGAATAACATACCAAAAGGTGAAAAACTTGATCTAGAGGAGTATAGTTTGTTGCTTCGAAATACCTCATGCAATTGTAAGCGATAACGACAAGTAGTTTGACAATAAACTCCTTAAAAGCTTATATGTTAACCTATAGTTCAAGCAACTCCACTTCAGTCCAGCCCATCCATAGGCGAACGAACAGGCGGAGGTCACTGTCAGAACCATCCTTCACAACCTGAAAACCAGATTGGAGATTGCAAAAAGGCGATAGGTGGACGAACTATTAGGAGTACTATTGGCTTACCGGACAACGCCAAGAAGCCCCACGGGTGAGATCCCTTTTTCCTCAACCTATAGGATAGAGGCGATCATACTAGTTGAGATTAGGGTACACTTTTTTAGGGTTCAACACCATGACCCTACCACTAATGAAAAAGGTCTCTACATCAACATCAACTTGGTAGAGGAGGAAATGGAGATATACATGCTCAAGAATGCAGAGTACAAGCGTTGCATGATCAAGTACTATAACTCGAGGGTAAAGCCTCGCTCTTTCTTGCCTGAGGACCTACTTCTCAAAAAGGTCATCCTATCTACCAAAGACTCTCGGGAAGGGAGGCTAAGACCTAACTAGGAAGGATCCTACACGGTCACAAATGTTGTAAGATCGGGTACCTACAGAATTCAGAACTCTAAGGAAAAAGTCCTAGACTATTCATATAATGCAGAGCACCTGAAGAGATACTACCAATAGCTGGGGGCAAGATAGTGGGTGCACAATTCAGTAGTCACCATTTTAATTATCTCTTGTTGTTTTTGTCAATTTTCATTGTTATCTACTTCAGATTATGAAATAAAAATTTGCAAGACTTTGTCTTTTTCAAAAGTTGTATCTCATTCCATAGAAGTTCATAAACTATTTACAAAAGATAGATCATGGTCTAGCAACAAAAACACATAGATAAGAATACTGCACTCCTGATATTACTCACTACTCCCCGATCTACTCCCATCAAAGTTCTCCTCCTCATCATCAGTCCTTGGTGCCTTATAGGGGATGAAGTTAGAAAAGTCATAGGCAAAAAAAGTTATAGAGACCTTCCCCTTAAGTTCCTCATAACCATCGATAAAGGCATCTGTTATGACCCTCTAATCAACATTCCTCTTCTTCTCCATCTCAACGGAGTGAGCCTCTACCCTGGTAGCTCTTTTAAGAGCTGCTCAAAGATCAACCTCTGCCACGATACCCCTCTTTCAGCTCCAGCGGCCTTCTCACGGGTCGTTCATAACTCTGCCTCTGCTCTCGCGAAGGCAGCCTCTTTGTCAGCCTCCAGCTAGGGGACCCTCACAAAACTCCAGAAGCTCGATCTCAAGTAGGGCAACTCCCTCATGTGCTAGCCTCAACTATTCCTCGAAAGCCTCTTGTGCTTGTCGAGCCCCAACCACTGCTCAACAGCTCCTCGTGCTTGCCTTTTTACTGCCAGATCTCTCAATGCCTTTTTGAGCTTCATCGTACTTGAAAAAAGGTAGGGGAAAACAGTAGCAACCTATAGGCATTCAAAAGGAAAACACATGAAAGAAATAAGTCAGGTACAAGATTAGGGCTAAATAAATGGCATACCATAGCAAAATCCATCATGGCAGTGTCAATGAAGCCCTTTGGACCTCGAGAGCCAACCTTTTAGATCTCCGCAGCTGTTACAAACCCCCAAAGTCATTTCTTGGCCATATTCACTTCTTGTAGCATGGATACGGAACCACTGTTAGAAATAAGGCAGCTATATGGAACCCTGGTCCTCGTCAAAGACTGCACTAGGGCCTCAATCCCCATGGTCGTACTAGGACTAGCTCAGGGATGCGAAGAAATAGCAACCAGGGAAGAAGTGGGGGCATCACCAGGTCCCACCTCCTGGGGACTAACCTAACCTACAAACCCTAGCTTAGGAGCACTGGGGGCATTAGACTTTACCCTCTTAGAGGAAGGAGGGAAAGACGCTACCTTAGAAGCATAAAGAGCTTCCATTATCGCCCTATCAATAGAGGGACCTGTGGAGTTGGTGTGAGACAAAAAGCTTACAAAGTCATAACCATGAAGAGTCTATTGGAAGAATCACATACGTTTCCTCTTCGGCCTAGGGGAGACTTTGAGACGACCTAATGCAGACACAATCTATGAAAACTCCTTAAAAAGATGGTCATGCACTACCTAGAGTCTACTCTCCTGGGGTCTACTCTCCTGCTCCACAAATAATGTGGGTGGAGCTGCAAGGGAACCAATCATACAGTAAGAATAGATATACGGTGACTAGACGTAAAAGCAAAAGTAAAATTCTTACCTAGCTTGGTCCTCGGAACAGTGTCCCACCTCAAAGACACTAGGTCAAGATCTCTCTCGGTGGCCCACTCACCTCCAGCAAAGAAAAACTTAGACTTCCAACTATGACAATTTGAAGAAAGTCCTATGATGAACTTGCCCGACCTTGGGGTGAAATGATACCACCCCAAATAAGGAGAAGGATAATCTAGAAGTAGGGCCGTGGCCAAAAACTCCTCGAAAAGGGGAGGAACATCAGCACTGTGAACTATCCACCATAATGAGAAGAAAGTTAGGATCACTTTCCACTTGTTAGGAGTTGACCTCCTTGGAGCCAACGATAGATATCCTAGGATCTGACAAATGGGCCCAGGCATTAGGAACCTCAAACCTGCATCTAAGACATCCTTGTAAAGTATGATCTCACCCGAGGAGTCATAACATGCTGGCTCATCCTCCTCCGCTCGACGACACATGATACCAAGAGGGATACGATATAAAGACACAATGCGGGTGACATCATCATCACAGCCAATTGAACTAAAAATGGAGATTACCTCGAACTATCGTCTTCCACAATCCTCTTGCCTCTCTAGGAGCCTCGTGTAGCGCCCTTCAACATGCCTCCATCAGAACGAGTGCTAGTTAGAATTAGAGGTGATGTCAAGAAATTCTAAGGAAAGGTAGATGTTAGGACTAAGGAAGTAGTGAAAAGTCAAGTGTTCACCTCACCGTCACGAGATCTCACACCAAATCCACTGGTGTCGCTTGGCCCATGCCCATCGTCTAGACCACTGATACCGCTGTCTGGCCTACACTCATCCACGCCCTATGATTGGCTGGTGTTACCTAGCACGGTTGAGCCGCCCAGCCCGACGTTGGCCCCTCTCTCCTTTACTTCGGCGTCGTCAAGCACACCTAGGGCGTCGTCTCTCCTAGCATTCATACGCTTCTTGACGTTGCCTAGGTCCAAGCCTCTACCGCCTGTCATGCTCCTAGCGCCACCCAACAACTCACTGGCATCGCCTAACGTCTAGGCTTTGGCATTGGCGTTGCCCTGACCTTTTATACTGATGGCAATACCACTTGCCTCGGACTAATTAACACTCTTGCACTACCCTACGTCACAAACAGCTTGAGCGTCTCTAGAGTCCAAGCTGAAGCCTCGTCTGGCGTCGCCATCACCTACAGAGCTGGGTGTCGTCTGGGTGCTAGCATCGCCCAGTGCCTAGGCCTTGACCCTGTCGTCATCGGTGCTTTCCACCGATCCTCTACGGTCATTGTCCAAGATCTGTGCCTCATCTCCCTTCTCCTTCACCAAGACTTGCCACGTAGAATCACTGGAGATACCCATCTTTATCTTCTCCCTTGTCTCCATACTCATCTCCTTCAAGTTTGCTCAATGATTTATAGAATGTGAAGGGGAAAATAGTGGTTTTAAGCCCTAGCTTTAAAAAGGGATATGATGGGTTTGACAAAAAATGCCCTTTAAAGCTTGAGGGCAAATACCTGAGTAAAAGAGGAGACATTGCCATCAAGTTTACCAGGCTATTGAAATATAGTTGTCGGAACAATAATTTTTCAACCACAGTGATTATCAAACTGAGAGAAGGAGCTCCACAGTTGCAGAACGGAAAAAGGATGAGCCGTGGGACTCAAGATACCTTCTTCCCTTTCTTTCACAAGCAATCGGGGGATGGGGGCAAATGATAAGCCCAAGTCTGATTAGGTCAGGCCCAAATCATGGATTTGGCCCTGTCTAAAGATCAAAGAGTCCAAGAAGATTGGAGCACGTGAAGAGCAATCATTGGGATAGTCACTCTCAAAGATCAAAATAATCTTCAATTGTGTTTACCCTTAATTGTAGTTATCCTCTCCAAAGAACTAGTATCTTTATCCTCACGTCATCGCCTCAACTAAGGCTCTATGCTTATAAATTGTAAGCCCTCTCCGCATGAGAAGGACATCTCTTTACACACCCACACAGTTATTTCTCTCTCTTAGCTACCACACCTCTCCTAGAGCTCATCTTTGCTCTCTCACTCACCTTACTTTATTAATAAAGATTCTTCGGTCACTGTTGCCATTTTCGAAGTGGAGTAGATCCTCTTGACAGAACCACTATACATTTGTGTGTTAACCCAGTATTTGTTTTTTACTATTGATTGTTTTATTTATTGTTCATTAATTATTCTGTCTTATACACTTGACTGTTAATTGTCCATAAGCCTATTTTATGCATCATCACATATCTTTCAGCAAGGAGTTGAGAGTTCAAACTGATTGTCGTTCCACTACAACTAGTGAGATGCTCCCTTGTGCACCCTAGTTAGAGCATGTGTTTTGGGAGAAAGTGCAATGCGAATGTGTTTGAACAAAAATTTATTGATCATTTGAGTGTATTAAACTATAGTATTATAAATATGACCCTTGGTGTACGGAGACTTTCTTTGATTAGTACGAAATCAAAGTATTAAAACTAATCTGAGTTATATAAAACATATGGTTTGCAGATATAGATTAATTTTTTTATGTATCAAACAAGAAAAGAAAATGGTTTATTAGATATTGCTATTGGACGAAAGATAATCCTTCGGTGATAAGTCTACTGTACAGTCTATATGGGATTAAGAAAGAAAAAGCTAAAAAATAAGAATATACTGAGAGTATGTAAGTTTTTTTTATGTGTCCAGTGATGACGTATCTCTTTACAAAAAAAATCAAACTTCTAGTACTTTTTGACTTATATGGACCATTCTTAATTAGTTTCTTTACGTGATAATGTAGCGTACCTTTCGTTGAATTGTCAAACAATCACTTTTAATGTTGTTGCATTGACCTTACTTTAAGGATATTTCTATGGCGATTGAGCATTGGCACTAAGAAGGATTTCAAGTTGTAATAGGAATAATAAATTTAAATATTTTGATTTTAAATTTTGATAATTTTTTAGAGTCAGGTTATAAAAAATTTATCTCTCATAAATACTTTAATCCAAGTGTAGATGACCTGTCTTTGACTAAATTAAAGAAAAAATTAATTAAAATATGCAATAACTAGCTTTCACATCCCATATTGTTGAAGGGGGAGGGGGGGGGATTGAGGACAGAAGGAGGTATAGAATGTTTGTTGGAGGCTTAAATTGGTAGAATTGTAGAGATGGTGATTGGGCTAAAATATTTAGCAGTGATGGTGGAGCTAGGGCATGTAGGTGGAGGTTGTCAGCGGGGAAATAGATTAATTTTATTTGCAGCTCTCTTTGGTCCGGCCAAAGTAATTTATACTAAAATGAGAATATTTATAATGAATAAATCTTTCATAGTTTAACCTTAAGAGGTAACCAAAATTTAATTTCAAAAGATTTACAGCTTGTCCCGTTATCACTTAAACATATCTCGTACTAAGGATTTAATCATTCAAATTGCTTGCCGTTCCACTGCAACTGGTGATGCGCTCCCTCTGGCAAGATAGTTAGAGTATGTGTTTTAGGAGACAGGGAAATTGTTTTGACTACTCTGATTGTATGTGAACAAAAAATTATATTATAAATATGACCCTTGGGTGTGGACCGTGTGGTGAGACTTTCGTTGACAAGTATGTAATCAAATTATTAAAACTAATGTGAGTTATATAAAATATATAGTTTGCGGATATAGATTAATTTTTTTATGTATCAAACAAGAAAAGAAAATGGTTAAATAGATATTGATATTGGACGCAGGATAAACCTTTAGTGATAAGCCTAGTACACTGGATTAAGGCTGACAAATAAGAATATATTGAGAGTGTGATTAGGTTCTTTTGCCTCATGGTTATAAATAAGTCAAACACAGTACATCAAGGAAGGAAAAACTAACAAGGAAGAATATAACAAAGGGAAAATTACAGAAAAGATACGAATCATTGGGTTTTTTTCTTGGTCGTTACGATAATCAAGAGTTTAATGGAGGATAATAAAAGAAAACTTCGGATGGAAATAACCTAAATGGAGAGAAATAGTTTTCTGTGATTTTAAACACAAATAATTTTGTGTCTTTCGATTGGTGGATCCCAGCAACTTGCTTGAGTTTGGTCTTAAACAGCTGTTGGAGTTACCTGCTGGAGAGAGAGAGACGAGAGAAGAAAAGTGAGAGTTGCTGCCCAGAAAAAAAAAAAACAGATTTGGTGCAGTACTGTGTGGGGAAGGAGCTGCAGCTCCATTCTTGGGTCTTAGAAGGCTGTTTTTTTTGGTTTGTTTCTTGCTGAAAAAAAACTCGGATGAGTTCCCTTGTATTGCTTTTTATTGTAAGTCAATTTTGATGAAATAGACTAGATTTTTGGATTGAATTGGAATGATACCTGTATCAGGTTTTTTTGTTTGCCCCGGTTTTGCTGTATTCTTGTGTAAATTTTTTTGTTCTTGGTGAGATCATTGCTCCTCATACCCAAACAAACACATATTTGATTTCAATGTTTTGAACAGATTACAAGAAGAGAATATTTGTGGGCAAGACCCAAGACTGCTTTAACGGAATTGAACGTCAAGAATTTTGAACTGTTGCTTGCTGATGAGGACGACCACCGCCGTCGGAGAAGATGACCGAAACGGCGAGGGTTTGAGACCAATCAAAAAGTGATTTTGGCATGTGGACCCCACATTATAGACGTGGTCAAAAAAAAAAAAGAAAAAGAAAAAGAAAAATAGAAAAATCACACAGCCGATTTTTTTGACTCTCTCCTTCCACTCAAATGTACACCACCGCCACCACTACCCACCGCTGAATCACCACAACAAGCCACGATCACGATCACTATAACCACCACAACCACTGCCATCACCACTGAATTGTACACTACCGCCACCACCATCACCACCAAAACCCATAATCACTATCACCACCAGCACCACCATTAGATTGTACCCCACCATGTCCACCTCTGAACTGTACACCGCCACCACCCACCATTGGATTGTACACCACCATTACAATCACCACAACCGACCATAACCATCACCATCACCACCATCATTACTATCACCATCACCATCATCAGGATTGTACGCCACCACGTCCACTACTATCCAGCTCTGAATTGTTCACCGCCACGGTACCACCACCACAACCCACCATCATTGGATTGTACGCCACCACTACCACCTCTGAATTGTACACCCACCACCACCACTATCAACCACTAGATTGTACACTACGAACATCATTACCACCATCACAACCCACCACCACCCTCATTATCACGACGAAACCACCACCTCAACCCACCATCACTATCACCTTCACCATCACCATCGTCACCTTCACTATCACAATCACCATCACCACCATCACTATCACCACCACCATCACAACTAGATTGTATGCCACCATCACTATCACCACCACCATCACCACTGGATTAATTCGGCCACCACCTCCACAACTACCCACCTCTGAATTGTACACCACCACCACTACCCACCACTGGATTGTACACCACCCCTACTACCAACCACTGGGTTGTACACCACCCTGACCACCACTACGCACCACTGAATTGTACACAACCACCACCACCACCACCACCATAACCACAACTACCTACCACTTAATTATACAACACAACCACCACACTTTTCTTCAGCTCAAAATTTAACAAAAAGAACACTACAAAAACATAGCGCCCCGAAAAAAAAGGAAACAACATATAACCTCCTCTGATATGTATATATCGAAGTTCAGTTGATGTATATGGTCACCCCGAATAGTCGGATGCTATGGCGTTCGAGCTCCATCAAATACCCATCTCCATTAGTCGACCGATAGAATCGGAGTACGTCATCGGGCATAAGTTTCTTCTTCTCCGCAAAATTCATCCACTGATATGTCATCGCGCGTCGACTGCTGTTCCTTGTCGAACATATGAACTCCCAGGTGGTCTCTCCATTTGGGTCCAGTACATACATGATCTCATTTCCAGAAGGTAAGTCAAGTGCCGACTTTGGTATCTCCAGGTTACGTGAAACGTCTGATGCTGAGAGCTTCTTTTCGAAACAAAGTACATAGCCTTCCATTAATTGTCGAAGGTCCAAACCCTGAAACGCATAAAAACCGAATGATTCTTTGTAATGTGTAAAAATTTTGAGAAAAAGAAGCATGAGAAACACTCGAAAAGTGTCTCAGTAGTGAGTACACATTTTTTGTGTGCTTGTGTTGGTGAGGGCTTAGGATTTTGAACCTTTTTTAATTATTATATAGAGGAGAGAGATGTCGTAGAAAAGCCATTTGGATTGAATTGGGATATTGCCGTCGTTGAGGATGACATACCCTTTAATGGGTTGCCACGTGTTAAAGTAGTTATAATTTTTAAATTTTTTCATCGGATTACTTAATACATCGTTATATTAATTAGTACGAGACTTTCTTTGATTAGTACGAAATGAAAGTTTTATGAGTTATATTAAATATATTGTAAAAAAAAAAAAAATTTGGTAGTGGGAAGAGAAAAGGGAGTTTGAACCATTGATTTTAAAAAGACAATTTCTACACAAGGTAAAGAGTACTATTGAATCAAAAGATTATCGATAATTATATAAAATATAGGGTTTACAAATATAGATTAATTTTTTAATATATCAAACAAGAAATGAAAATGGTTAATTAGATATTGCTATTCCATGAAAGATAATCCTTAAGTGATAAGTTTACTATACAGTCTACCCAAAAGAAAAACAACCGCAGCCTTCTAGTTCTTTTTGACTTTTATAGACCATTCTTAATTTTGTTTCTTTACGTGATGGAGTAGCGTACCTCTCGTTGAATTGTCAAATAATCACTGTCAATGTTATTGTATTGAACTTACTTTACGAATATTTCAAAGGGAATTGAGCATTCACACTAAAAATTAGTCTAAATTATAATCGGAATAAGGTGTAAATTCAGATGTTATCGAACATAAGTTTCTTCTTCTCCACAAAATTCATCCACTGATACGTAATGGCCCATCGACTGCTGTTACTTGTCGAACATATGAACTCCCAAGTGGTCTCTCCATTTGGGTCCAATACATTCATGATCTCATTTCCCGGAGCTAAGTCAAGTGCCGACTTTGGTATCTTCATGTTACGCGAAACGTCTGGTGTTGAGAGCTTCTTTTCGAAATAAAGTACATAGCCTTCCATTAATTGTCGAAGGTTCAAACCTTAAAACACATAAACACTGAATGATTCGTTGTAATGTGTAAAGATTTTGAAAAAAAGAAACATGAGAAACACTCTTGAAAAGTGTCTCAATAGTGAGTCCACATTTTGTGTGTGCTTGTGTGTGAGGGCTTAGGATTTTGAAGGGGACTTTTATATAGTCTCTCCTCCCTTTTTTATCCTCTTAAAAAAATAAAAAATATATATAATCGTCACAATTGTCGTCATTATTAGGTGGAAAATGTTGAATTGGATTGCATGTACATTGACATCATTGAGGATACATCCCCCTTTAATGGAAGAATTTCTTGGCTATGCACACTCAGTGGGTTGCCACGTGGTGTGTAATAAACACCTACAAAAATATCTCGGCACGTTGGCGATGCCGCCACATCTGTGTGTAATAAATAAAAAAATGCGTATTATTGACCGTCCTTTTTGGACACTGCCGCCACATCTGGTTTCCAACCCACGACATAAGGGGAAAATATTTATTACTATGTTAATATAACGTGATAAAATGATATGTTATTATTAATTAATATTATTAAAATAAATAAATTAATGAATCATACAAAAATTAATAACTAACATATCATATAAGTAAATATGATAATTTAAAACTCGGTACAAAAATTTAAATTTAATTGAACTAAACTACATTAATGAAACTTTTTCTGGCCCTTTATGCAATTTTTTTAAAAAAATAAGACTAAACGGGTATTTATTACTCCATTATTTTGTCTCCTCTTTCGCTATTACTCTTTCACTCTCTCTTCCTTATATTCTATTTATCTATTTCTCTCTCTCTTTTTCTTTTACATTGATAATTTTTTTTAAATATGTAAAGATATAATTTAATTTTTTCACCTCTCTCTACTTGCTCTCTCTTTATTTTCTTATTCTCTCCATTTTTCTATCTCCTTATATAAACATTATACAACACAATTACATTAATCAGTTACAATTACACTATAATACACTAAACAATTATTTATGTGTTCTAATAAACCAAACAATTACACCAAACAATTATACGAAGTTACAACACCAACTCAATTTGTCATTTTGTTATTTACATAAATCAAAGAGTTACATCAGTATCACAACATGGTTACACCAATTATATATACCAAATTAAATTTATCATTACACAAAAGACTTTACTATTATACTAAATTTGATATATATTATTAGTGTAACGATGTCGCGATATTAAAATAGTGCAACTATTTAGTTTTATGTAAACAACTGAATGACAAATTTAGTTGGTGTTATAAATTTGTGTAATTGTTTGATTTATTAAAATACATGAGTAACTTTTTAGTGTATTATAAGACAATTGTAATTGATTTGTGTAATTGATTAGTGTAATTGTGTTTTTGAAATATTGATATAAATAAAGAGATAAAATTGGGATAGAGAGAAATAGTTAGAGAAAATAGGAGAGAGAGAGAGAAAAAAATAAGAGATAGATGAAAAAATAATCAAATTTTACATATTTGAAAAGAAAATAAATTATCAATGATAGATATAGAGAGAAAATAGGAAAGAGGTGAGGAAAGAGAGAGAGATTGAAAGGAAATGGGGGAGAGATAGTGAGAGAGTCTAATAAAATCTATACATATTTAATTAGATATATAACTGTTAATCAAAAATGCATAATTTAAACGAGGATATTTATATAAAACAATTTTGATTTATTTGAATTTTATACCTAAACACAATATATTTTATTAAAATTGAACTTAACAGAGTAAATAATTTATTTATACATTTTTCTTCAAATAAGTTTAAAAAATTATACCCACAACCAAAGAACCCAAGTAAATAACTCCCTACCCATTTGTCATATAAGCCCAAGTAAAGTTCACATTTCCTATTTAGAGTATTATTACTAGTTGTTGATACTATGTCATCGATTGTGACATGATAATACATTACTTTCAATATTTAGCAATATTATATAGATTTAAAAATTAGATTTGATAATTACAGTCATTGATTTTACTATAAATTTTAGTATTTATTAAGATCTATTTAATAATTATGATTATCAAATTTAATTTTTAAATTGTTGTATTATTATTCTTCAATATTGATTAGACTTAAAGGTCCGTGCATGAGATTAAATTTATTCTGGATAACCTGTAAACTTTTGGGTTTACGGGTATCCATTTAGGTGTTGACACATAAGCCAAGTGGGGGCAGACTTGTCTTCAATTCCTGCCTCTTTGATTCTTCTCTGTCGCATAATCACACGCGCACAAACACATGGCCGACGTCCCCTCCTCTGTCATCTCCTATCTCCCAGCCGGTGTACCTCCACTTCATCGGTGAGATTTCTGTGGCTTCAAATCCACCCAGTGGGCTTCTGTTCTGATGAATAATGTTGGTGCATCGGCTTCTCTTTCCTCGATTTCGACTAGCTATTGACGATCAAGACAACAACCAGATTGAAAAATCCGACCGCATCAACCAGCTTTAGTCCATGACTCCGGTGACCTCAACGATGGTGGAGGGATGTCAGGTATCAGAGTATCAAGATCAAAATTTGGTGCACTGTAATGCTATGTTTGCTAAGAAAGATGGAAAGCAAGGAGGAAGAAAAATAATAATGATATATTTTTTTTTTTTTATGTTTTATAAAATGGGTGAAAAAATTAAAATAATTAATTTTTTTTTTGTGCTTGGTAAGAAGAAAAAAGTATTTTTTAAATTTTTAATTTTTTTCAAATAAATATAAATATATTTTTTATCATTGTATTAATATATGTAAATATCAAAAAGATATATAAACAAATAAAATATATTTCAACGCAAATAATTAATTTTTCATTCACTTTCCTTCTAATTTTAGATTGATTGATTTTGGTGAGTTAAAAAGAATACTCATCTATCTATTTTTTCAACCTTAGCCCTAATTCTAACTCAACCTCAACCTTAGTACCGCCCAAATTAAATTCGAATATACTCGGGTTAAATTCAAGTTACCCAATTAGGATTTTGGGTTAGAATTCATGTTACTCATGCAATCTATTTATGTTTTATCCATGACTTAAATTGATAAGCACCAATTTATTGAAAATTTGAAAAACTCAAATAAATCAAATTATATTTGTTGTTGTTACTAACAACCCCATCCCGTCCAACATTAGGCAAAAATTCTTCTCCCTCTCTTACTTCCTCACACATTCCACTACTTCTCAATTCAAGTACTTTCCTCACTGTATCATCATTCTATATTGTCTTAGCTACCAATTCGAGAAAAGAAGGATTCATTCTCTCTTTCTCTTCCTTAACATAAACCCTCACTATCTCCACCACATCATTCCCTTTACTCATCTTTACCACATTTTGATGAACATTCTTATCCCACAATGAGGCTTCAATCTCATCCTTCCAATTCTTTAATTCCTCTGAAACCAACCCCCCCCCCCCATTTCAATTCCTCTTATGGTCGAGAAAGGGGAAGACATTGAGAGACTAAGAGTCCAGTTAGAGAGGCAGGGAATGATTGAGTTACGGTGATGACAATGAGAGGGTGGATGAGGATGAGGGGCGAGGCTCAACTGAGTGAGAGAGGCTATGAAATATAAGGTGATTAATTAAAGGCATAAAGACTAATTTGCTTTTGATGACATAAATAACTATATTACAAAATTGATAATAACAACGAGCTAGTAACAGTAACAACGACATAGTAACAGTGACAAAAAGATATAAACAATAGCAGCACCACAGTAACACGACACAGTAACAATAATAACAACATAATAATAATATCACTATCACAGTAACACGATTACAATAATAGCAATGCTCGTGTGGATGGAGTGTAAGGGGTGATGGCTAAAAATTGAGGTGCTATAGAAGGTGGCAGGGTTAAAGCTTATAGTGGTTGTGAACTAGACAACAACATAATCACAATAACAGTCACAATCATTATCAAAATTCTACAAAATTAGACAATAATATGAGCGTAAGTGTCGTATTAAAAGTTAATTATTTATAATTTTAGGAGAGAGAAAACGGTAAGTGTAGAACTTGGAGGAAGGGTGATAATCTTTGAAGGAAGAACCTAGGTTAGATTGTACCATTGATCGACTTGAGGACCTGTCTTCGGTTCAGCTTTATTGTTGTTGATTGCCATTTTTTTCTCCTTTTCCAATCTGCCAGAAGCAGTTGTCGATGAGATTGATCGATAGGAAACCCTAGAACAACACGTAAACCAAAAAACACCAACTGAATAATGATCGAAAGCCAAGGCGAAGAGAGTTTGCATAGATCAAATGAATAGTAAGAGAGAGAGACAGAGAGAAAAGTGATCTTCTTGGCACCAAAAGGGAGAGAAAAAGAGACGTATGATACACGAGAAGATAAAGTGGGAAATAGAAAAAGAAGAAAATAAACTACTGGACCTACTTACAAAAAAATACATAACATATGTTCTTAATAATCAAAAAATATCACGTTTGAATCTATTGACAAAAAAGATCCCATGTTATACTTTGTTCCAATTTTTTCTAGTTGAATTCAGATTGATCCACTCAAATTGCATACTGGAGCAATGGATTAGAAGGAAAGTTAATCCATTATAACTTTTTTCATTAAATCTTCTCTCAATCATTAAATCATAACGAATTTAAGTCAACTATCAATTTAAATCATACTTAACAAATTTAAATCATACTTGCTGATGGGACTTTTCTGAAAAAACCCTATGATGAAGACACGTGTCCTCGGTTTTACTAAAACACTTGCTAAGATCAAGCACCATCGGCGCACCAGGTCCTCTCCCCCGAGGTACTCGTCATATAGGATCATACNGGGACTTTTCTGAAATACCCTATGATGAAGACACGTGTCCTCGGTTTTACTAAAACACTTGTTAAGATCAAGCACCATTGGCGCACGAATGTCCTCGCCCCCGAGGTACTGGCATATATGATCATACATTCAGTATATTTCACAACTGACACGTGGCCTCGGTCTGATATGTACCTCGGTCGACATACCTCCCTCGGTCCCCCGAGATGAGCCTTTCCTCGGTGCCGAGAGGTACCCCATCCTGGACGCTTCCTCTACTCCAGGATAAGCTACTGACGTACAGGTCATTAGCTTAGGCTATTTATCATGACCTCGTCTTACACAAGTAATGTCAGAACGTACTGGAATACAGAGGTCACAGCCAATAGGGGATGGACGCGTGGCATATGATATCACATCAAAGATAGACATACCGCATGCCGGTGCTGACACGTGACTTGGGAAAGCAAACAATTAATTGCACCATTCCCTTGATAAGACCGCATTCAATGCGGTAAGGCTCGAAAATGAAAGACAATAAATGCTCCTATTACAGAGCATTTA